AAAAAAAAAAAAAAAAAAGGAAGTAGTCCTCTTTTATTTTTTTACTTTTTATCTGTTGATTAGGGCCAAGAGGAAAGTATTGTTGGGTTGGTTCCCCACCTGCGTTTTCCCTCCCCACCCACCCTTTGCATGCATTTCCGGGTTGGTACAGTGCCACGTCAGCAGTGCCACGTCAGCAACAGTGCCACGTCAGCAGTGCCACGTTAGCAACAGTGCCACGTCAATAGTGACATCAGCAGTGCAACGTTAGCAACAGGGCCACGTCAGCAGTGACACGTCAGCAGTGCCACGTCAGCACTGCCACGTCAGTAGTGCCACGTCTGCAACAATGCCACGTCAGCAGTGCCACATCAGCAGTACCGCGTCAGCTGTACCTCGTCAGCAGAAACAGTGCCACGTCAGCAGTGCCCCGCCACCATGACGGGCGCAGCTCTGGGCATGCCAGGGCAACTGGCCAACGAGTCTATTGCCGACTACAAACAGCGGTTCCAGACTCAGCTAGCACTAATCGAGGCTGAGGAACAGCGCCAGCTGGCAGCCGAGGCTGCCCGCCTATAGGCTGAAGCAGCGGCAACAACTGAAAAGCAGCGGCTACAGGCCGAAGCAGACGCAGATACCCAGGCACGCCGCAAGGAGGCCCAGGATCTGCTGCAGCGGCATGAAGCCGCCAGCATCGAAAGACTCAAGTTCTGGCACTTTCAACAGTCCAACGGCGACGACGCGACACCGGAGGAGCATCACAAGGAGTTCCTCTCCAAACTCGTGACACGGTTGTTATACGCTTGCAACTATCAACAGTCCGAGTTAGAGAGACAGAACCAGGAACTGCAGCAACAGTACTAGGATCTGAAGAAACAGCACCAGGAGTTGGCGAACCTCCGTCGGACAGTGCAGAGCCACGAGGATGCTACACGGGCACTCAATTCCCGTGTACTGGACCTGGAGCAAGCTGTACCAGGACCAGATGCTGGTGTGTCCAGCAGTGGACCCTCTAACCGCCAACTGGAGGAACGCGTCGACCACGTCGTCGCAATGCTCGGCGACATCAGCACCTTCGCTGAGCCGACCACCATCAGCAATCAGCTGGATACCTTGAAGACCTACGTCCAGCAACTGCAGTTGCCTAACAAGAATGGCAACAACACACATCATTACAAGATGCCAACTTTTCAAATTGAGAAGTTCGATGACTACACGCATCAGGACCCGGTCCTCTGGTGGGAAGGTTTCACGACGCAACTTCGGATTCTGTTAGTCGCCAAGCGCACGTACATCGGCGCCTTGTTTCTTAACTCAAAGGGCGGATGCCAGGTCTGGTTAACCCACCTGGCAGCCACCCACGGCGTCGACGTCGCAGATCTGAAAGACAAGATCTCATGGGAAGAGTTAACACGGCTGTGGAAGAAGCGGTTCATCGTGGACGACACTTGCACTCGCCATCAACCGTCTCTTCAACATGACGCAAGGCAACACAGCAACACGTGACTGGCTCACGGAATGGCAAAAGATCGCGGCAACGCCCGATCTCGACTTGCCATTTACGCATCTGCACCGTGAGTTCTACAACAGGTCATGCGCTGCATTGAGCCTTGCTCTTGGTGATCGCGAGCAGTATGTAACCTTCGCTGAGATCATTGAGAAGGCGAGGGAGATCATCAACACCAACAGGGCGGCTGCACACAAGAGGTCAACATGGCAGCCGACCTATGTGGAGAAGGTAATCACTGCAGTCCAATTGGACAGTGGAGAAGACCCGGCAACCGCCCAAGCATTACGTGAGGCAGATCAGGTGGCTGCTGTCCAGCCGCGAAGCAACAACAAGTCCCGAGTTAATGGGAAGGCGAAATCAGCATCGCAGGCCGGAAACGAACAGCCAGCACCATGGGTCAAGCTCAACTTGAACGAGGCCGAGTACAAGTACCACAATCGTTACGGCTGCTGTTACTGGTGCAACAGCACCAAGCACAAGACCTCCCTTTGCCAGGATCAGGCCAAGGAGGATGTGCGGCCTCGTCTTAGCTCAGGAAACTGAGTTCCGCGGGAGGTGAGGCGACTCCACCTCCCACTCTGCCAGATTCGTCCGCCTTGCTAGAGGCCTCCTGTACATCTGGGGAGGATGCGAATGTCGTAAGTTCTCGGTAGACTTACGAGGACTATGCTGTCCACTTGGTCCCACCGTTGGACCAACCGCTCCACGTGCAACAATCTACCGCATGCACGGTTTTATCACCATCGGCAACCGATTCGGCAGCTTCGCCGCAATCTATCGCCAGGGATTCGACGTCATGGTCAAGACTTGAAGAGCTCGACCCGTTGACGTTCACAGACTTCCAATGGATGCCCGTTCCCCCGACTGGTCGATTGTCGAAACCTCATTGCAACGTGCTCATGGCACAATTGCGGGAGTACTTGCACACTGCAGTACCGACTCCGTTGATGGACGCCGGAGTAGAGGTTGTCGACCTTCACGCCTACATTGCGAAGATTGACCGCGAGTTCAAGACGCAACGGTACGACGACATCGACGCACCATTGTTATATGTACGCATTCAGATCGGAGAAGCGACCTGCAGCGCTTTGATCGATTGCGGAGCATCTCGCAACTACATCAGCCAGGACTTCATGGTGCGCGTCGGCCTTGGCCCACGCGTCCGAAGGAAGCCCTAGCCTACCCAAGTCACGTTGGCGGACGGTCACACGCACAAGTCAATCGACCGGTGCATTGATGACGTCCCAGTGTACTTTGCCCCTCACGCAAGTGAGGCGGTGTCCTTTGACATTCTGGATACCAAATTCGACATGATCTTGGGCATGTCATGGCTGCGAAGCGAGGATCACGCGGTGAACTTCTACCACCGCACCGTTCACATTCGTGATCGGAACGGAGTACTAGTCCCATGTACGGTGCCTCTTCCTCATCCTTCGATCAGCTGCCACGTGGTATCCGCCGCAAGCATGCGAGCTTCCATCATCAGAGACGACATCGAGGAGATGGGGGTGTGTTTTCTCCACGCCCTCCCGCCCCATGACGCTTCATCGACGGACTCTTCTTTGGATCCACGCTTCACCGAGCTTCTTGACGCCTACGGCGACGTGTTCGAAGGCCCGCACGGAGTAGTACCGGATCGGCCCATCCGCCATGAGATCATCCTCGAGGACGGGGCCGTACCTCCACGCGGTTGCATCTACCGAATGAGCGAGGAAGAGTTAAGTGTGCTTCGGGCACAACTCGACGACCTTCTAGAGAAAGGCTGGATTCGGCCTAGCTCATCGCCATACGGTGCTCCTGTTCTCTTCGTCCGAAAGAAGAACAAGGATTTGCGGTTGTGCATCGATTATCGCAAGCTCAACGCGCGGACGATCAGAAACGTCGGCCCTCTCCCATGCATCGACGACCTTCTCAAACGACTGGGCGGCGCCAAGTTCTTCTCCAAGCTGGACCTCAAGTCGGGATATCACCAACTCGAGATTCGGAAGGAGGACCGCTACAAGACCACGTTTAAGATGCGATATGGGCATTTTGAATGGCTGGTTATGCCATTTGCCTTACAAATGCCCCGACCACTTTCCAAGCGGCTATGACAACGGAGTTCCGACACATGCTGGATCGATGCGTACTTATCTACCTCGACAATATCCTGGTGTACAGTCGGAGTTTGGACGAGCATGTGGAACACCTGCGCACCGTTTTGGAGAGGCTACGACAAGCCAAGTACAAAGCCAACCGCGACAAATGTGAATTCGCGCGGCAGGAGATGGAGTACTTGGGACATTATGTGACGCCGCAAGGCATCCGTCCGCTGGCGAACAAGATCGAGGCCCTCCGCGTATGGCCTGAGCCCACCAACACCACGAACGTTCGTTCATTCATGGGGTTGGCGGGCTACTATCAGCGATTCATCACCAGATACTCAAGGATTGCTGCACCTATGACGAGATTACAATCGCCAAAGGTGCCATTCGTATTCGATGACGATGCACGCCGGTCATTCCAAGCACTTAAGACGACCATGCTCATGGCACCCGTCCTTAGCATCTATGACCCCACCCTGCCCACGAGAGTGACAACTGACGCTTCCGGCTATGGCATTGGGGCAGTCTTGGAACAACACGACGGTGACGACTGGCACCCTGTGGAGTATTTCAGCCACAAAGTGCCTCCCATCAACTCGCTTGATGATGCAAGGAAGAAGGAGCTGCTCGCGTTCGTGATGGCTCTCAAGCGATGGCGACACTTCCTCCTTGAGTGTCGTAGGTTCACATGGGTTACGGACAACAACCCACTGACTTACTACAAGACGCATGATACGGTGAGCAGCATGATCGGACGATGGATGTACTTCATCGACCAATTTGACTTCACACCGAAACATCTTCCCGGCCTCTCCAATCGCGCAGCAGATGCACTCTCGCGAAGACCTGATCTTTGCGTTATGACACATCATGCCTTCGCATTCGACGAGGAACTTCAGCGACACTTCATCCGGTGATATGAGTCAGATCCGAACTTCGCCACGTTGTATGCGCAGCTATCTTCGGATCACCCGCCGGCCAGCCACTATCGCATTGTCGACGGGTACTTACTCCTCCACTCGAGAGGCAAGGACTTATTGTGTGTCCCACGATACCATCGTCTTCGGACTCGCATTCTCGGTGAGTATCATGACTCGCGTCTCGCGGGCCATTTCGGAGTCAACCGCACCATTGCACGGCTTCGACAACGATTCCGATGGCCCGACCTCATTACTGATGTCACTCGGTATGGCGACTCTTGCGAAGTTTGCCGACGAAGCAAGCCCCGCAATCGGCGAGTTGCGCCCGATGCCTATCCCACAGGAACCCGGCCTCTCCATTGCCATGGATGTCACCGGACTATTCCCCCGCGATCGCCTCGGGCACGATGGCATCCTCACGGTTGTGGACCGTTTGAGTAAGTATGCGCGTTTTCTCCCTTGCAAGTACTACTCCACGGCTCCCGAGCTGGCACGCCTCTTGCACACCAGTTGGATTTGTGGCCACTGTGTACCGGAAGACATAGTCAGCGACCGCGACACTCACTTCATGTCGGCACATGCAGGAGTCCGGCACGAAGATGAAACCAAGTTCGGCTCGGCATCCACAGACGGACGGGCAAACGGAGCGGGCACATTAAACCGCTTAAATGATGCTTCGTACGCTCATTTGTCCGGACCAGAAAGATTGGGTTGACCGCCTCCCCGACATCGAGTTCGCCTACAACACTTCGGTGCACCCGGCGATCGGCGTGACTCCATTCGAGTTGCACCACGGTGGACGGAAAGGCCTTATCTTCGCCGACCTTCTCCTCCCATGACCAGCCGACATCGACGCCGCTTGCTCTCCCGCTTCCGTTCGGAAGTACAGGGAATTGCTGGCTCAAGCCCGCGCGAAGATGCAAAAGGCTCAAGTCCGCATGCAGCAGCAGGCCAACAGGCGTCGTGTGCCATGTCCCATCCGCGCCAGTGATCTAGTTTGGGTCTCCGCGGAAGAGTTTGCACTGGAACATGACGTTTCAGACAAACTACTTCCCAAGTGGTTTGGACCATGGCCCGTAACAGCAGTCGCGGGCGATGAGCCCGATGGCCCTTCATTTGTGATCAACATCCCCGCGCATCTGACGGTCCATCCAGTCTTTCATGCCTCGAAGCTGGCCACATATACACCAGCTAAGAGCAACGATTTCCCGGGCCGAGGATCGCAGGACCCTCCATCTATGGATGGTCATCAGGAGGTTGACCGCGTCATCACGGATCGCAAGTACGACAACAAGCCTCGACAGTACAAAGTTACATTAAGAGCATGCGATCCCGACGACACTCGGTGGATTTCAGGAACAGATTTGAAAGCATCCGCACCGCTGATCTACGCTCACTACGAGCGACAAAGGTTAGATCAGGGACCTTCACGACCTGCCCCTCCCACTCGGAGTGTGGTCCCTCCCTCAGACAGACAACTTCGCCCTCGCAGGTAAGCTCGGTCTTTCAAGGAGGGGGGGGTGTGGCATACTGTGTAGCCACACGGACCTGCAGGGCCTGTCCCGCAGTCTCAGCCTAAAAGCCTAGAAACAAGGGCTTACAGGCCCCGTGTCCGTGTCAACCTGA